ATGTCCTTATCTTTGAGGGGAACGAGGGGGCGGGCAAGGAAAGACAGCTGACATTGACCGAGTTAACTCTGCTGGGTAGGTACTGGCCAAACACATTACTGGGCCTATCTCTTTTTATGCTCATAATAATTCCATAAAGCAAGGACTTAGCCATATTTTAGAGATGAGAAAAACTTCAACTTCCTGTCAATTCCCAGCCCTTTCTGCAGTGCTATGACTGTTTCCCTATAACATGGAAGTATAGTTACAGGCTCTTGATGGTTTTTCTGATTCTCATATTTCACAATTCCATAATTCGTCCCTGGCTCTTTCATTCTACAGATGATAAGTCTGGAGTCTAGAGAAGTTCCCAGATCACTTAGGTGGTTGTTGGCAGAGAGTGGTTACAACTAATTGGCTTTTGTTTCCTTCTGTTCAGCAAAAACAGGGAATAATTGGATGACTGACTTAACATCACACATTTCAGCTTTATTATTAGGTGGTGATGTCAAAATAAATACTTAGAACTGCTTTCACTTCAGTTTGTTAAAGTATTTCTAATTCGTAGACCCTGGAGGGTCAGAGATGGAGAGCTAGGTAAAGCTTCTGGTTGATTCTCAGGGAACTAGAATGTTCTTGTGATGATCAAATCCTTAGTTACTTGACAAATATGTCCCAGAACCTACTGTGTAAAAGACTCAACTGGAGATTCTGCCCCTTAATTCACCTCTTAGAAATACGTTAACGTATTTAAAATGAGTTGCCCCAAATATTCATTCTTCAGAGAGAGAGAACTTTTTCTTTAGGGATTCCAGTTTTTGGCAAGGTTTTGTACATTATCTCCCTGGATGGACAAAGCAGAAGGACGGGTAATCCAAAAATAGTTCCTATGTAGTTTCTAAATCAATTCTTTCATTGCTTTTCCACAGCAAAAATACTTTCCTAATTACCCTGAATAGTCTTAATGTCTTTTATTGTTTCTAGCACGTTGACATTGTGATTGATCATCCTGCTAACCTTGTGAAGAAGACAGAACATATATTAGGCTATCCATTGTGCTTATGACAAAACTCAGACTTTTTAAAAACCATGGGGTAAATGGCTAATCCAGGATGGTGGAGGATAATAATAGGGAGCTGACACTAGGGGGCAAGTCTCCTCTCCTCTCTTCCTCCCTTCCCACTAGCCTCATTGCTCTCTCCCTTCCTCCACCTCCAACTCCTTCTCTGTCTCTGTCTATCTCTTTCTCTCTTTTCCTCGCTCTGTCTCACTCTCAATGGTTGGCTTTCTGTCCAGTTTAAACTGATGAATTTAAAATTATGGCCACATTTAGACATATAGAGCTGAGGAAAGTGAGACGTAATGGCTTCCAGGTCCCCATTGACTGTGTAAAGCTGAGTGTTGACAAGCTACTATTGTTATTCCTATACAAATACCTTATTTTTAAAAAATTGGAGCTAAGAAAGGGCCAGTGAATTGACTATCCCATCCAGCGGCCCAAATTTCCTAAACGGCAGTCCTTATTTTAACATTCCCCAGCCTTCATGTACAGTGACAACAAATATGGCACCCAAGTCAACCGCATTTCCGAATTGTTTTCAGTCAAAGACTTCGAGGCTGGAGAAACCCAAGATCACAAATATTACACAAACCAAATCTGGACAAGATGGCATGAAATGACTAACATTCCCAGAGATTCTTTGGACTTGCAGATCAAAATACAGTCCGTAGTAATGACACTATAAAGAAGCTCTCATAAAAATAAGTTGTCTCTGTAGCTAGTCAAACTCATCTCTTCACATCATGGAGAAAAAGCTGGCTCATTTCACTCATTGCCCTCCCAGAACCCATCTTGCCTTCTTGTCTACATGACTTTCTTTTTGCCAAAGTGCCTCTCTCTTTTTTATTCTAATCTTACCCAGGGCTTAAGGTCCAGCTGATTTTCTCTTTCCTCTGTGAGATTTCTTGACTTCCCAAAGGCAATGCCTTCTCCCTCTTCTGAGCAACTCAGTCATAGAGAGTGCTAATCTCTGCACAGTTGTTGGTCTTGTTAGTCTTGTGTTCTGGTCTACTCCCCTGTATCAGGAGCTCTTTGATGGTGAGAATCATGACTATCCACTTTTTATGTATTTCCCACAGTGACTAACAGGATGCCTCTCATCTAAGTAATGTGTGTTTTACAGATGCCGGATACTGATGCCAGAAGGAATACAGATCCCACATGTTGCCCTTCTGTTCACAGAATGGGGCAACCAATCCTCTTACATGTGTCTGTTACAACTCCAGTGACAATCTTAAACATGACTCTTTTCCCTGGGGGTAGGGTTGTCAGATTTAGCACCTAAAAATACAGGATGCTCAGTTAATGTGAATTTTAGATAAACAGTTTTTAGAGAGTAAATATATACCCCCTTTTTTTTTAAGTTTAAAATGTCATCTGATGCCACATTTGCACAACTCACCTCATTCGCCCTATCCTAATCCTAGCCCTATTGGATTCTGTCTTTATTTAAATTTTTGATATTTTATTTTCACATGGATTTCTTTGCATTAGTTTTGATTTTTAAAAATATTACATTAGTCTGGGTGCAGTGGCTCACACCTGTAATCCCAGTACATTGGGAAGCTGAGGTGGGCTGATCACAAGGTCAGGAGTTCAAAACCAGCCTGGCCAATATGGTGAAACTCCATCTCTACTAAATATACAAAAAAAAGCTGGGCATGGTGGCACATGCCTGTAATCCCAGCTTCTCTGGAGGCTAAGGCAGGAGAATTGCTTGAACCTGGGAGGCAGAGGTTGCAGTGAGCTGAGATTATGCCACTGCGCTCCACCTTAGGTGACAGAGCAAGACACTGTCTCAAAAAAAAAATAATAAATATATATATATATATGTGCACACGCGCGTGCACGCACACACACACACATATATATATAAAACATTAAAATATTATTTATCTTGATGACTGAGTTGCTTGGTGTCACCTTAAATTTTACTTCTAAATGATACTCCCTCTCTCCCTTTCACTCTCTTCATGCCAGTCCCAGGCCCATTTGATCCTCATTCTTCTCATCTGAAAAATAGTTATATAATATGTCAATGGCAGGATGGAATGAGCCCAGTCTGCCATTTACCTTCACTTAGTAATTATTTTGTGTATCTAATGTGTCTCAAATTTTTCTTTTTACTTTGAAAAGTTTAGTAACCTACCCTCCATCTGTTGTAGCCACATTTTAATCTAAACTCATATCTTTTAATTTTCTGAAGTAAGTGTTTATTATTCTAATAAATGAAAAGGCCATAGGAAATGATTATTTTCAGAATGATCATGGCCCAGAGCTCCACAAAGGTGCCCTGTATTTTGATGGCAGACAACCTATTTGCAAGGAGAGAACCAAACAGAAAAGGAATAGCCTTTGGCTGCTGAATTTGTGGCACATCTGAACTTGGAGAGGCAGAGCATTGAAGCCACACTCACTGTGCAACCACATTCCCTTGAAAGATAGAGCAGCATGTTAGTCTTCTCCATATACTTTTGTTTTCTTGGAGCTATTTGTAGGCTGATATTTCAAAGTTGTAAAATGTTCGCCACTGTATTTTAAGCTCTTTCTACTTACAAACCTTAATGTCTACATCTGAAAGAGTGAGTGTATGAGTTTAGGGAGTGGGAAAGGATGATGGGCACTTGTAGGGTTTCAGAAGACTAAAAATATACGCACATATGCCTTGGCTTGGGCTTTTTAATGAAAACCCTATAGGGCTGTGCGTCAGACACTTGTTCAGAAAAAAATAGTTAATTAAGCAAGTAGCTGAGAAGAGTGATTACTTTAAACCCATCTATGGAAAGCTGGTATGTATGTGTCAGCCTTCTGTGTCCAGGATTTTGTCATGGAAAGAGAACATTTAGAAACCTGTTGGATGGTAATTTTTATGCATTGCCAAATCATGTTATCCCATTAGGTACAACTTATGATCTGGGATCACATGTTATCATATATGCCAATTACTGCAGAAACCTATATGATTTTACAGAGACTGAGTAGGCCACAAGAATTGACTTGCCACTAGCATTATAAATAAATCGATCTGTAGCATTTGACTAAAATTCAGATAATTTAATCAATTTGACAAGGTTTTTAAAAACATTTATCTTTTAAGGGGAAGATAATTGTCATCCATAAAGTTTATAGAGCTTTCCATCCATGAGGATCTTGTTGCTCTTTTAAAAAGGCAACAGGTTTTTTTTTTTTTTTCTGTTGAGTTTTAATTGTTTTTCCATACCCAGCAAAAAAGAAGAAAAAGAAAAGAAATAGGAAACCAGTGAAACTTCCAAGTGAATAATTTATTAAAGAAGACTTTTTTCCCCCTCTGTCTCTGCCTGTTACAGTCATAAGAGAAATTTTCCTCACGACCTCAAGCTGTGGGTTGCTTATTATCATTTTTAGCATTCTACTACATGACAGAGCAGAGATTAGCAAGACTATATTTTCTAGTAAAGCATCTCTTTTGAAATTGGTACAGAAGTTGCAATATGGCTTAAAAATATTGGTATAAAATTCTGAATTCTGGTGATTTACTTAAAATCCTTTTCTATGTAGATTTAACTACCTCAATTATCTTCTATTCTGAAATGTGCTTACACAATATAAACACACAAAGCATTTGTATTTGAAGGCAAAACCAAAACATTCTTGTTGTAGTTACTTAACTGCTAAGTGTCTAGAGAAGAAGGGACAAAAATTTGTGTGGTGTTGAATATGGACACATGTGTAAGCATCCTGAAAATGTATTGGTTTTTATCAATTTTAATTCTTAATTCAGGAAAAACAACTTCAGAGGCTAAATCTAAAACTTTAGAGGCCCTAACTTTAGGGCCCATATGTTATTAATTATGTATTGAAAATAAACTTTTTAAAAAAAATGGTTGAATTCAACATCTCATGTTTTCCTGATTTTTTTGAACTGTTAATGTCTCTAACATTAAATATTCTAAACCAGTAATTATTTCTCTTTTCTTAATAGACTGGAAGAAAAGAAAAAGGAGATCCTCTCAACATTGCGATTGATAAGATGACTAAGAAAACAAGAGATTTAAGGAGACAGGTACTGTTTTTTGTTTTTACTTTAAGTCCATGATACTTAGCAGGGTTTCCAACAATGTCCTTTTCCAGGGTGTCTTCTTGGAGTTGATGTTCAGGTTGTTATTCTTTATAACATCTACATATACCAAAAAAAAAGATGAGCCAGTTGCAAGCAAGGAAACAGGCCGTGAACAGGCAGCTTCTCACTGCCCAGATCTAATCTGTCCTGGTAGAGACGAGATAAATTCACTATCTCTACATCTGGTCTTTAGTTTTCCAAATCCAGGTATGCCAAGAGCCTGTCTTTGATCTTTGCTGGTTCTTACTTATCAAACTCTCAGGAAATTTAGTAATAAACCCAAATGCTAATGATTAATGAGAAATATGATATCATAGATTAATTAAGGTCTTTTGAGCAGTATATTCCCTTGGGAACATAAATCTAGGAGAAAGTTTGCTTATCAGACGGTTGTTTGGGAAGCATGGAATAAAATAGCTAATGACATCATTAGTTTGATGGGTCTATTTTTCTTACAGGGGAGATATCTCCAGTCAGGGCCCTTTTTCTCCTTGAAAGTGTTGTATGAACACTGGTAAATGTTGCCTTAGAACCCTGATTTTATATGTGTCCATGATGAAATCCTCTTTCCTTTGGTAGTATTCTTTCTCCGAAAGAGATTCTATCATTCACTGAGTTATAATAAAAACCCTTCTTCTTGATTTCTGCCCAGGGCAGAATCCTGTCTCCTGCTGTAACTTTGGCTATGCCCACCTCATTCACTGTTAATTGTGATAGCCAGCTAAAACCAGCCACTGCTATGGCAGCACCTGCAGAAATGGCCTGATTAGCCTGGCCACATCCAGCATTTCTTTCTGCAGTGTGTTAAGTACAAACAAGATTAGCAAGAGCCTTGGGCAAGAATGGCCAAGCAGCAACTTGGAAATGATTTAAATGTGAGGAACCTACCACTTCTGATGACTGCTGGGGAGCTTCTTGGCTTTTATCATGACATCACCTGAAGATGTAGACACACTTGGTCTGGTGTCCTTCAGAAGATATCACAATTACTTCTGGAATATGAATATTCTAGTTCCCCAGCTAACAAACCTTTTCAGGGGGGAAACATAAGGCAGAATACAACATTGTCCTTTCAGGCATTAGTAAGTAACAGCAAATGGATATATGTCCAGGTCCCTCTCTCCTTGCTCTCATAGAGAATCTCTACATATCCCCATTTGATATGAAATGATATGGCTGGCAGGAATTGGGATGGAGGTTAGTTGAAAACACTGAATCAGATATCAGAGCCCTTGATTTTAGTATTAGCTCTGCTGATAAACTTTCAGTGTGATTGATTGTGGATCCTTCGTCTCTTCGTCTTCCAAAAGTAAGGAGCCAAACTAGATCTGTAAATTTTTTTTTTTTTTTTTTTTTTTTTTTTTTTGCAGTATAAGATTGTATGAGTCTAAGGGAAATTCTCATTCCTATGTCAGAGGTCTCAATGACTGATAATCACAGATTTCTAAAAGCAGTGGGAGGACATCTCCAGGTCTTGCCTTGGGCTAGATTGCCAAACAGGTAAAATTCATGAACTGGGTCCTCCCATTTCCCTGATCCCTTGGTCTCAGTAGTGATTGCTTTTCTTACATTCAAGAACAAGCCCCCTCAGCTATTTTCAATCATGGACCAATCATAGCAGGATTTATTATTATTATTACCAGAAAAGAATGAAAAAGTAATTTTTACTTTCATGTTACAATTCCTAGAAAGGCTTGAATCTTTTTAGCAGAGGACAGTAGTAAAATCTGAAGGTAAAAATTTATGGTGGAATTTTAAATGCTTAGGTGACAAGCTCCTTGGAGAGCTTCCTATAAGATGGCAGTGGAAGGAGTGTGTCCTCCCCTGAAATTATTCCATGTATATATATTTTTTTCCTTACTTTTCTTCAAAATACAGAGGAGTAGAATAAAAGGAGAATTGTTTCATGGTATTAAGATTCAACAGTTATGGCATAATTTCACACCGTATCCATGAATTTGGTTGAAACCTCTTTCCCTTCTCCAATCTGCCTTTCTAAAACAACGATGGTCCCCGTCTGTCAGTTTCATCCCTACCCATATGTTGAGATATTTTTGTCTTTCTTCTCATCTCTTCTGTCTCTCCATGTACACCTGTAGTGGCACAAAAGCTTCTCTGATCTGAATTGAATCTACCTAGCACTTGTGCAGATGGAACATGCAATGACTAATTTGTTTGGCCCAGGTAGGTCATAAGCTTAGATTTGGGTAACTAGTAATGAGATAGCAAGGTGCTACCTGGGTCTCTGATAGCCATTCCACAACAGTGGCTCAGAGAATGTTAATGGCTTAAACAAATGTTTACTGCTGAGATACTTTCTGTTCTTTCAATGACAGATAAACGTTTGCTAGAGCAGATTCTAAAAGAGAACCCTCAGTGATCATGTTCATTTCCCTGTACACATGTATTCCTTTGTATAATATTTAGAGATATCAAATCTCCTAGGGGAAAAAGGTGAAATCAAAGATTTTAGTTTATAAAAAAAGATTTCTAGCAACATTCGTGATGTTGTGCTCTTTCAGTCTCCTGCTTCCTCCTCATAGTCCTAAGTCTGGGCAGTGCTTTTCGGAGGGGTGACCCTAGACACTTGAAAAGTTTTAGCCACCAAATCGAAAAGAAATAAAATCAATCATGATCATTATCTTGGACTTTCCTAATGAAAGAAAGTGAAATTAGACTTGTAGATACTTAAAGAAATCAAGATTAATTGAATATTAAGGATTTCAGTTTAAGTGGAATTTTCAGGTAAGTAGAACTCCTCTCTTGAGGCAACATATCCCAAGGAACCAGGGCATTATAAATTGTGAAAAAGATTATAGATACCCAAGGATATCATTTAAAACTGATCCATCTTGCCAGTTAAACCCATGACAGGCGGCAGTGGTAGAGCAGAATCCTCCTAAGGAGTATTTTGTTTAGAGTCTAAAATGGACTTCGGGGATGATAACTGCCAGCTTTAAGCACTGTGTTCTCATTTTAGAGCTGTGAGCACAGCAGGCCCTGCGTCTGAGCTATTGTCACTGCTGTGATTCTGGAATCAGCTCATTGTGGAAATACTAGCTCTTGGCTGATGCCCCTTCTGGGTGCCTAGTGGCCCACATGGTCCATCCATCCCCCAGAGAAGACTCAGTCAGTGTCTGCCAGCTGCACCCCTATTCCCTTTTGCTTTGTGCCACCTGTGAACTATCCTAGGTATGATTTCTTAATTTTTCCTGCAGTTACAGGGATGCTAGTTGATTCTGATTATTATTTTTGTATCTTTATTAGTCTCTGTCTCTTCCAAGTTGATAAACAAATCAGCACCCAAACACTTCTCTCTGAGAAGCTAATAAATAGCATCTATGACATTACAGTATTGCTAAACGTAGCAACTCTTTCACTCCCAAAACAAATCAGAGGCCTAATTCTTATTCCTTTACACTTACTAGACACCACAATGATTCCAGCAATGAGATTTAGTGAGTGTCAATCTGACAAAGGTCTCAATTCTGTTATTAAAATAAAAACATTTTTAACAACAAAAATTATATTTTAGAATGCTTTTACATTGGGGTGAGTACTTAGAATAGTAATATAACAAGGCATTAAAAAGTAGTAAGCAAAACATATTATTGGATGGAATGATTAAAGGCTGATTCATTAAGATCATGTCTCCAAGTAGGACTGTAGAAAAATCTTCCGAGATTAATAAAAAATAATTACAACTAAAAAAATGCCTTAGCTATCTCCTTTGTGACCCAATTCCTTATGTACAAACTCTAGCTGAAGGTGAACAGTTACTATGGAGAGCTTGTAAAATCGCTGTCCAGAATATGTAAACTAATTTACAGCCCACTTATATGAAGTCCTCGCAAGGTGCCTGGAATTGTTCTAAGTTCTCTCCATTTATTAACCACATTTAATCCACACGCTAGCCCTAAAAGATTGTCACTATGCTCATTTTACAGATGAGGATGTGAAGCCAAGTAATGTACCTGATATGATTTGGCTGTTTCCCTAGTCAAGTCTCATCTTGAATTATAGCTCCCATAATTCCCATATGTCATGGGAGGGACCTGGCGGGAGGTAATTGAATCAAGGGGGCAGGTCTTTCCCATGCCATTCTTGTGATAGTGAATACATCTCATGAGATCAGATGGTTTTATAAAGGGGAATTCTCTTGCACACCCTATTTTGCCTGCCACCACATAAGATGTGACTTTGCTCCTCTTCCACCTTCCTCCATGATTGTGAGGCCTCCCCAATCATGTGGAATGGTGAATCAATTAAACGTCTTTCCTTTGTAAATTACCCAGTCTCAGGTATGTCTTTATTAGAAGTGTGAGAACAGACCAATACAGCACCCATGGCCATTTAGGGTATGGATATGTGGAAGTTGCAGCCAGGCAATCTGGCTGTAGGGTCTTTTACTCATAACTTTTACTCCATCCTGCCTCTCCATAGAACCAACATATTCAGGTGGGTCACCCGTATGCTAATGTACCTGGGAAATGCATGTGGGGAAGAAGGAAGATTCATATAAATATGTAGAGGTGCTTTGAGGTTTTTAGCAGCACCTCTACCACTCTAGGATTTGGGATTGCTGGCACAAATGCACTGTGAAGAGAAAAAAAAAAAAGAAAGAAAGAAAAAAGCAACTATGGTAAATGTCAAAAACATGGTTCTTGTTTGTGATATAGCGTCTCTTGGGTCTCCAGCTGTTATGGTTCATTGGATCCTCTTTTGAAAAAGTGCAATTATGTTTAGGTATCTGGCCTCTCAAAACATGAATTATAGACTTTCCAGAACAATTACAGAAAAAAGAGAATGTTAAGGCATTCTATTCTTTTTCTCACATCTGCTCATGCTGGGGCCAATTATTTTTAAATTCACTGTAAGAAAAACATTTTTAAATCACTTATTTCTGGATTTAAATCTGTTTTTTTTTCATAAGGATATGAAGT